GCCGCATCCGGTCTTTGATTTATATGAGGCTAACGATCGTGGTATTATTAGAAGCAAAAAAACTCAAAAAGTTCTTAGTACTATGAGCAATATCGGATATATCAGTGTAAATGTTAGAGGAATATCGTCAATTTTTGTTCATTATCTTGGTCATAGGTTTGTTTACGAGGTGTTCAAAAAACCAATACCCGATGGTATGGTTATTAGTCATATTAATAGCGTAAAAACAGACAATCGATTGCATAAGCATCCATTCACGTGTAATAATAACGAATATGCAGAAGTAATACAGAATCTATGAAATCTTAGAATTTCTATGAAGGTTATTTTGAGGTGAAGAAACCAGTCGAATACATACTCGAAGACGGCAAAATAAATACATCTAATTCCAGGTTAAAAGCCAAGAGCTATACTACGTTTGAAATCCTTACACATCAGCGCACAATATATGGTCAGATTCTTTTTGATGTTTTGCATTATCTTTACGGTTTGTGTTCAGTGATTCTACAAAATCCTTGCTTGAAGAAGTCTTTTTTTATAAACGAAGAAATAAATTAAGCAAAGCAAATCCGAGACACAATCAATGAAACGGTGTATACAATTGACAACCGCTGTTATTTATCTACCTCTGACCGACGATTTCACGAGCATTTGTTACTGTGGTGGAATCAGTGAACAGCAGGTCACAACCATGCAAGAAGCTTTATTGAATATTTTAAACTTTATAGCAGGAAATAAATGTTTTTTATGTTATGTACGATGATATTTATTTTGGAGTCTCCCGCAGCAGATGATGGTCATACTATTTTTACAATCAGCCGTATATACGGTCGTTAAAATGACAATGGGATATTGACTTTCCTGACACGTAAATGAAATATCTCTCCGATTCGAATTATTAGCACTAAGAAATGAGTCGATACTTAATTGCCACCCATCCCAATCGAGGAATTTAATGCGTTTGTGACTGATCCGCGTTAGGTTTACACAACATCAGTGATAATCATGATCATTAGGTGATCACGAATGTGGTTTTGATTACGAATGTTTTCGATATATTTCGCAAAACTGGTGTGGAGTTATACCATGTTGTTCCAGCTCATTATTTCTCACCCGCAAGAATGGCCTCGGACGCGTTTCTGACAAGACCTAAAGTGGCACTTAAATTGCTGATTCGTAATGATTAGAATTTATTTGTAGCCCTCGGCATCCGTGTTGGTACATCTATAAAAAGCCATATCGCCAAAAACCCGATATTAGATGGTTTTGGTCCAAGCCTGTCAAATAGCTGCATCATGTGTTTGCAAACTTTATAATTTGAGTGATGAAGCAGTCTGTGCTTGTTGGCAGATTCGAATGGACTGATTCCACAACAGTGAATATGTTAAAAGGATATAAGGGTGTCATCAGATGCTTTTGTGAAGTTGATCTGCACCTTTCAAAGAGGAACTTCAACAAAGTCATTACGATTATCCTCTTGGGATTGTGTCTACACACAATTCATCGGGTTCTTCGATTTCGCTAATATGTGTGCATAGATGGGTGCATCATTATGAATACCAATCTGCAAATAAAGGAAATTAAGAAGTTTAAAATATATATTTTTACATTAATGAATAAACGATAAAAGGACGGAAAATTAGCAGAAGTAAAATCAGTTGCATCGCGCCAAAGACTGTGTCACAGACTTTGTGCTAACTACTCATTTAAGTCACTCGTGTTATTTGTAGGTGGCCTAATAGCCATCCATAATAAAATTGCTGATGTAAAGTTGGCAGTGTTTATCACATTAGCGATGTTCAGTTGAACCTGTATTAGCTCTTCACGTGATTGTACTCTAAGAACATGCCGTTTTACCTGGAGTGTTTAAAGATACTAAACTTAAATATATATTCACTTTTTGTGAATATTACCACTGGCGCATCAAAACTGACTTTAGCTATAATTCTTTATCATCGAGAATAAATTGCAATATGTCTCACATAAATGCTCTGTATATTGCCTTTGGTAAATGGCTCCAGATGGCGAAGTCTTGGATCCCTAAGAAACTTAACCGCGTCTGAATCTAAATACATATACATGCAATCCCAGGTCATTAGCACAGTTTTGTTCTCATCTGATTGATATAGACAACAAACCAAATTGTTTTCCATAAAGTGATAAGCAGCAGAACATGAATGGCGGTGAGAGTGGTTGAGGACACGTCTATGTGGGTTTTAATTAATTCTCACTTGTAATATTCTTGCACATTCCCGCTAAGGCCTATTGAAACTGTGTTTTCCACTCAAAAATTGCAATAGATGGCTGCCAACTCGAATATCCGACCATGCACACTTGGTCAAAGAGTTCATGAACATATATTGCACATAATGATGTCCATCCATATAATCATTTGCAAGTGTTAAATGGCTCCACAAAAACATGGTCTTGATGTATTTTGACTTGTCCTGCACTAACCAGTACATGTATTAACAAGAAAGTTAACATTCAAAGAAATTCTTTCTCAGATCCAATTGAGCAACAGTCGTGGTCATGTCTCTGGTTAAGGTAAATAAATACCATTAAGCGCACCAGCGACACTTGACTCAATATATCTTTGTATGTAGGCGTCTCGTCTCCCTTTCATCGAATGGATAACCTTTTCAATGTACTTTTATGTGTGTCAGCCTAACAGATCATATTGGAGAAGAATCATATCAGCTAAAGTATTTTCATTGAGCGTTTTGGATTGTCAGCAACGATGAGCAAAGCAACGTCTGAAATTTTGAAAGGTGCCTAAAATCGCGGAAACAACCGTTGCTAAGACATGAACAAAAGCAGTACCTCTCCGATATTGGTTAAGACTGTGATATATATATATATATATATATATATATATATATATATATATATATATATATATATATATATATATATATATATATATATATATATATATATATATATATATATATACTATTTCTCCCAAAATACCATATATATGCAACAAACATTTACACATCTACAAAAAAACTAACATACGATTCGCGTCAAACAACGTGCATATTTAATGATATAAAGCTTCAATCGAATAGTACAAGATGATTTGCATTTGCCGCTTTCGTCTTGACAACTGGAAAATAATTCACGGGACAAATGCAAACCTTCTGCAAGTGAAGCATTTAAAAATTAATTTAAGAGGGTATTTCCAGTAGGGTAATTGTTTTACGGATCTGAGAAAAAATTGAAATAAATTAACATTTGATGCTTAAAGATGCTAAAATATATATGAAGTAAATATTTTGAGGGTGTCAGCTACATAGAGTAAACGATTGCTCAACAACTACTTAAAAACCCGTATGGTGTTGACACAAATCATAAAAAACAGCAATGTTGTATATTATAAATCTCATGATGAGTTCTGAAACAATTTACATTAAAACACTTCGTAGTCTGAATCTCCAGATTTTATATCCCAACACGGTCGTTCCGCAATTATCTCGGGAATGACTAATGTGTGTTTGCATCCGTAGGCAGTGTCACCGGTAATGATGTTGAACTTGGCTGATATGGAATATAGCATTGCAGAGATTTTAAGTAAACTTTAATTGGTGACAGGATAAAATTCAACAATTTGTATACGAGTCAACACTCAGCTCTGTCATGCCTGTTGAATTTACGCTGTGCGTGGTTAACATCGTACGGTCGGGAATAAAAACAATTCTTTGATGGCCTAAAAACATTTCTTTTGAGAAACATATCAATGATTGGGTTACCATATCGCGATGGACATGTCAGTATTACCTTGAAAATCCAAATTAACTTTACCTGTGACGGCATCACTGGCAATCTTGGTGGCCGTTACTGTGCAGGTTTACTTCCTGATTGGCTATTTAACAACTGTGGAACTGGGTTATCTGATATCAATTTTCCCCTGCGACTACTATATATATATATATATATATATATATATATATATATATATATATATATATATATATATATATATATATATATATATATATATATATACAACTCCAAAAAAGGCGGTTAAGATACCCTCATTTTGATATTATTGACAGGGAAGTCTAAATGTCATATCTCTATAATGAGACCTTAATAATGAAGTTGTGCATTACAGATCGAATTTATATTTAATACGGAGAGCTGTTGGTAACTAAGGAGAACATGGTTTTCAATATTAACCGCATCCAGCTAATCATATAACTCAATTACAAACAAAACGTACTTCTTATTTTCTACCATGTGGGACCTTATTATAAATTGATATAGCACGATGCTTTGCCTTTGATATAATTGCTAACAACAGTGCCATCAAGCTCGCTATTTAGCAACGCTTATTATAGCTAGGATATAAAGGAAATCGAAACATGTAGGCAAAGATGTCTAGGAGTAGTCTCGCACGATACACCTATGACTATGCAAGATCCGCTGACCCCACTTCGATATTTTACAAAGATAGACCCTACCATGCAAATGGTCGTCCCTATAATCTTAGAAATGAAACTGACGCTGCAAGATATCGAATGCTTCCTGCGCGTTTCTGCTCCGGTACATATATGGGTTGTACAAAAAAATTCGCAAATCTAACTTAGTACAACCTAACAACAACACCACAATTTGTAGTCATGGATGGTGTTATTGAACAAAGTTTTGTTGTTAAAATTACCAATTTGTATTTCCGTTATAACCTCTGAGATGACTGCATACGTCACGATTTTTATCGTTCTTTTGTTCTGGAGAAGTGGTGTGGTGTTGTAATGTTTTCTTTTTATTTTTTTAACGTAGCTTTAATAATTTTTCAGTCATATTGCTACGATGTCTGCAGTGTGGCAGTTTATAGTGATGTCTACCATTGGGACATCATGCCGCAGACATGTAGCATGATGTCCCACCCAGTCACATTATCCTAACACCAGGACGACCAGTCCCAACAATAACATCTTAAAGCTTAGCGTCGCGCGAGGCAGCTGTTGGTACAATGTTTGTAAGTCTTTGGT